ATAAGGAATGTCTTTCATTTACCAAAGCTGTTGTCTGTTGGGATACAATAACCAAGGCAACATAACCCCTCTGTGCCTCCATCCTTATCCTCACTCCTCTGCTTCTTTAATTCTGATTGAATTAACTGACCCTCTGCCCCAGTCATTACCATCCCGCTGTACAGGAGCATGAGCTTTCAAACAGTGCACAGAAGCAAACACAGAACCAATGGATCCTGCGAAAGTGTAGACAGCTACAGGCGCATAACAAACACGCATGCATGCACAAGACCAGACATACCTTAAGTACATGTCTCCCTTCGCTCTGTACATCCATTTAGACTAAAACATCCACAAAGCAAAGGAAGAGGGGATGTGGAGCAGTTCCTTCTCTCTGACGGTGATCTACGTTGTAAGGGTTGAGTGCAGGCCTATAGTTAATAACGACAGTGTCACACTCGTCTGTTCCCTCTTTCCTCTGCTCATCTCTTTATACAGAAGGGAGGGCACGACGGAGGGAGCGAGCTGCTTCAGAACACAGAGTGCTCTGCTCTCCCCTGTCAGCCCGCTCTGTGCAACGCAGCCAATCCCTCCATGCCACCATGAATATTTCATTCACCCAGCTGAGAGCTTAAAAACACACACACATGCACGCCACCACATGGAGGACGCGCACATTTGGAGGACATACAGATTCTTAGCCGCTCAGGTATTCAGGTCACAAATGAAGAGCCCCCCCCTCCAGCACAGAGAAATAGAAACAGGCACACGTGTGCGCTCGGCATTCCTGACAGGGTGCAACGCGTTGAAAAAGGGCAGATTGCTGTGTATTCATTAAAATTCCAGAAAGCTTCTGTGGCTTTGACTTTGACATTCACAATTCCCATCGTAGCTTCAAGGTTACATTTGTTTTTCATCAGGCAGTAATCATACAAGGACATGTGGCTCTTTTGTGTCCCGTCCACAACGTGCGCTCTCATAGGACAAGGGCAAAAGAACATCTTTATGAAACCCGAGTGGTAAAAGGAAATCTTTGTGAAAGCCGAGTGGTAATTAAAGTCTATTTCCTAATCAAGAAAACCCTGAGGAGCCTTGTCCCGGTGACAGACACCCTGTGGGCACATTTCCTATGACAGCTACTCTGTGAGCCAACTACACTTACCACAAACCCAAAAATGCAAAGGTGAAACCAAACCAAAAATAAGAATATACTTACCGTATTCATTGTGATACCAGACAGGATGCATAAAAATAGGTAGAAAGAGTGACATCTAATGGCTGCAAACCAAATGGTCTGGCATGGGATCACGTAAAAAAAAAAGTATTGCCGTCAGGCTGCCATTTTGTATACATTGGTTTATTTTCTGTAGACCCATAAAGCATCATGTTTGGTGATATGACTCAATTATTAGGTTCTTACTTGAACATTATCAATACACTCCAAAAGAGTACCATTTTTAGAATCGGTCTGAGTTAACTGAGCAAAGGAAGCTAAATTAATCCTAAGGCATCGTGCACAGGTTTCTAGTGCTTTTATAGTTATAATAAGGTTGCGTATAGTTCAATATTAAAAACAAATCCATTTTCTACTAAGTTGAAGTAGACAATGTAGTCATAAAAATGTTAAATCACTGGTGAAAGAAAACCCATGGCAGAGAGGATGGCTAATAAGCCGTGTTCTGCACAGGAAACAGATCAACATTTCCTTATATGTTGCCAGCGGCAACATAAAAGGAAATCCCAGCTCAACCAAGCATATTTGCACATTCTACATGTGCATGTGTGGGTTTTCTCTGGGTTTTTTTTACTCCTACCATCCAAGAACGTGTTATGTTAGGTTAAAAAGCGATTCAATGCAAGTGGGCACATTTGTCCTGCCAGCTACATTGGATACAGCAAGTTATTGGAAAATAGAGAAATGGAAAAACACTACATTAATAACTAAATACGCACACACTCAAGTCAGTTCCTATTTCTAATGCCAAATCATTTTCTAAGAACTTTGAATTTAGCCACAATTGTCAGTTTCAATGCACAGTTCTTCCTGAAAACACAAGCACAGTTAGATTTGGTGCAACACAGACAAAGAGGCTTTATGTTATACCAGTAAACATGGGAATTCATTCTTCAAAATATCATTAAGAAAGTCTGGGGGAGAACTAAGCCCATTACACAAGCTCATTCAATGCAATTATAACCAGTCTAAGTAAGTGCTGAGCCAGCATAAGTCCAGGTCAAGAAACTCAGGCTGATAAAAGACTAAGGTACCTTTGTTTATTCTCAAAGAAGGCTCACAACGTAAAGCCAGGGGAAAATTGTTGCTAAATGGATATAAATGGAGGATGTGCATCTCATATATGGGACTCCCCTAACGCTACAAAGAGATAAATGTAAAAAATGCCCACATTATGAGCATTTCACTCTCACATTTACCCCGTACCTTCAACCTATGGTGGAAATGTGGAGACACTATTCAACCAATTCAAACCACCGCAAACAACTAGTCTTATTTTGTCTTATTTAGTGTTTGAGAGAGTTTCACGCAGAACATTTTATGCCTGTGCTTTTGTCCATCATTAACACATTCTGTTACTGTGACACCCAGTACAGGATCTCTGCCCCAGGAGCCATCCTCACCCTCTGATGAAAATGATGCAGTAAACTGAAACTGGGCACATTTGCCTTTACCTCTTAACACTTAATACAAAGAAACATATCCAAGAGAAAGATCAAATATGATCTTTCATCAACGTAATCCCTCATGACTGGGAATTGTGCGGTCGATCACAGCTTGCTGGGAGCAGAATTGTTTTTACGTCTGATCAGATGAAGCCTTTGATTCATAATATTATATTTACAAATGAGCCACTATGTAAAAAAAGTGACCATGCCCTATTCTAATCCTAAGGTTTATGTATCAGGGCACAATTATTGTAAGACTTGAAATATAACTTCAACTTTTTCCAAAGATAATGCCAAATTGCATAAGCTGTGATTAAAAATACAGTCATCCTCCGTATGAAGTAACCTGTACATGATGTCAGTGTAAAGAAATTCCATCCCCACTCTTCTTGTTAGCGCTGCTTACGTTTATTGAGTGTTATGGGAACGCCTTTAGGCAAAGCTCCTTTCAAGTCCTGCTACAGCTTTTAATAAGATTGAGGTCCAGACTTGATCTTACTGTCAAGGCACCTAGAGTATTTCCTGTCTCAGTCAGTCTGTTGTAGATGTGTTGGTGCATCGGATCACTGGCCAGATTCCCACATCAAATGGCTGCAAAAAAGACACAGATCCTCCCCACCCGCCCACACATACACTCACACACACACTTTTCCAACGGCTGCTTACAGTTAAAGCTTTTGTCCTAATGTGCCGTGCTCATTTCCCCCCCTAAACATGCCCCTTTGTGTTACTGTCACACGTTTCCACTTTTGTCTTTTCCCTACAAAGGGAACTGTTCCTTGTGGTTGGTTTAGAAGCAGGTCGAAACAAGTTAACATTTAACATTCTAACCTATTCCTCTGAGGTCTAAAGCGATATTTTCACTGTGCTCACAAAAGTCCATCGTCCATGTTCAGCTGCTGCTGCCCCAGAATCTGGCCTTCACACGGGCCAGTAAGAGATGGAGCACTGATGGGTCATTGCTGCATCAGTGTGTGTGTTTACACACAGCATTCAGCTATCACAAACTTAGCTGAGTGGCAACAGCAGTCCTGGTTAGAGCGGACCGTTCTGCCACGCACACAAACACAGCATCTCAATGACTAGAGATGCATTTCTTAGATATTTGCAGTTTGTGTCTGCTCTATATCATCCCAACATGGGGTTCACTGGCTGGAGTGTCAAGCATACTGATACTTATTTCATTTCAATACTTGGTGAGGACCACAGGCTCTTTTTTAATTGAAAACCTTGGGGGGGAAAAGTATGTATTTTTCCATGACTTTATTTGGCATTAAGCAGATGAATTATTACCTGAAGCCTGTGCTGTCATGAGCTAGGGTGGGATAGAGTTTCCTGGCATCTTTGCACATGCATACACGTGCACACCCGTACAGTTAGCACACACACAGAAAAGGAAGTGGACAACTCTACACCGCCACTGATGTCACACAGTCAGCATGCGTTTTAAACTTAGCACAGCCCCCAGTTTCTTTTTCACAGCTTACGCTTCTCGTTCTGCGACTGTAAGTTAAACCCAACTAACAGGATGTGGGTGTCTATTCCAAAACAAAACATATTCAAAACCATAAAAAAACATCTGTCATATGACCGACGGCAAAGCGAGCAAACGTTTTCTGACACGTGACTTACGTACATACTTCTTGTACATTTTCATTGTTACGCTTGCTCAACCGTTCACAGAACGACTAACAGCTGAGCCCGATATCTACTAATTAACTTAAAAACCTTCTGTGGGGAAGAAAGGATGGGCTAATTAGGTGTCGTTTCTGTAATAGTACCAGCTTAAAACCTCGGTACCTGAATCGCGGAGTAACGGCCGCCTGAGCCTTTTGTGTGAGAGAGGAGACGCTTAAGCGGGTGGAGGTAACCCTTAACGAAGTCTACCGGCTGTTTCTAACGTTTTAGCGTCTCTCAAAAGTTTCTGTGCCAACCTCAATGTTCAAACTCACCAACTACCGAGTCACCCTCAAAGGCTAGAGCGTCTTTAAAATGTCTAGCTTGACTAACCTCACGCTCGTTTTTCTGGTATCCGAAATGAAAGAACATTCTCTTAGCAACTGATAACTGGGCGCCGAAAACGTGTTTACGTGTTATATTTTTTTGAAAAACTCTTTCGCTGGTGTTAACATGTGACCAGAAAATGACCTGTACCCACCCCACATGGCAGGGGTAGGAAGCCGGCTAACAATAGCAGGCACCGGAGTGCCTCCCCGTATCTTTCTCTCAAGCATCCCTTTTATTTGCACTGCAGCTTGACAAATAAAGGAAGCCACAGACGAACGGAAACGTGATTACTAATGGTAAGCCTCAGTGATTTACAATCTTGGGGTACTTACTGTCCTCAAGAGGGGCCTCATTTGCTCCGATGGTCCGTCCATTTCACCAACTCACAGTCATTAACCCACCGTATTTGTTCTGATGCCGGCAGGAACAGTGAAAGCCGGCCAGATGACAGTTCTTTGAGAGGTGCCCACTTCTCCTAACGACAGGGTAACGACGCGCCTCTTTCGTGACAGACAGTAGGTCATATCCAATTGTCTTTAAGTCTCTGGCGTCTATGGCCAATCAAATACCACGACGTCACTTTAAAGGTGGGGCTTATATTTTGAGGCCCCAAGAGTCTCAGACGATTGTTTTGTGTTTAAGTGTGAGTGTATAAGTACCGGCGTGAATAACATCCTTATAATGATAAAATATTATTTTTAGGAGTGTTAAAACAAATACTGTTAAATAGTCTTCTATCATTGCCGTAAGAGCATCGATTTCTACGTGATAATCTGGAAGAAAAATAGCCTAACCAAGGTATTGTGTCCGTTTGTCCGTTAAAATCAGTTTTACCATATACATGATAAGCTGTAAATGTAATGTTATGTCACTCATGTTGATATGTAAGTAAAATAAAGTGCTATAAATTTAGATAAGACTTCCATACTTAAATATACTACCTTAAATTAGCTATATTGATATGCAACTAAAAATATGACAAAAGTAACCAAGGGACGCTGATTTTCTTTCCTGAATACACATGCTAGAAAAGTCAGTTATTTTTCAGTGAAAAATGAAAAAAAAATAGTGTTTGATCATTCCCAGAGTTGAGAGGCACTGTGAAAAAGTACCTATAGTTCCAAAAATACCAAATGTACCAAACGTACCAAATCTTAGTAGGTCAATAGGTAATTTAATGTAATAGGTAATACCTCATTCTGATCAGTCTACATCACTGTGGCTTCACCACTCCCACTTTCCTCTGAAGGAAAATGGAGTTCTTAGCTGCTTTTGTATTTGCAAAGTGGCTGTCCACAGATGACTATCGGGTCCAACTTTTTTTAAACAATGACAGAAGTATGACTGACCGAAAACTGACCTCACAAAGGAAATAGCCTCTGTCCATCACTTTGTGAAGGTACACAATTGAAGTTGTAAGGAAAACAACTCAATTCACCTGATGTATGCCTCATGTTTGCCCCACAGAGTCGAATAATTTTTTAGAATAGGTTTATTTGAAACTTAAAAGTTTTTTACCTCTTATGTGACCCTACGGAAATCCTAAAAGCTAGGCATCAGAAGAAAGGGAGTCTACAAATTATGGATGAGCATTGTGTAAACCTGCCCCTCTTTTCAGCTCATAGGCTTACTGTGACCATTGCTCTTTGACCTTAGCTGCTGCTTCAATGTTAGGACATGCTTAATCCTGTCTTCTCAAAGTCATGTGATCTATTAAACCTCTTAAACACCTTTAAACTGCATCCCTGATTCGGTCCATACCAGGTATTGTGTCCAGGCAGCTTATCTTAAACCTGAACAGATGTCACAGATTCTTTTCTGTTGTTGTCGTTTCTAATTAACTCCAGGTTAGGTTTAGTGTTTGAGGAAATCCTCCAACCATCCATTTTTCATACCTTCCTGTTCCAATTTATGGTCAAAGCGGACTGGAGCATACCCCAGTTGTACTTTAGTATGCAAGAGGTGGCGTACAGGGGCAGAGAGGTCACCCTTCTATCTCAGAGAATAATGACAATGTGTTGTTTATCAAACTAAATAAAACTAATTTGCTACTAAAGGTTAAAGCATCAGTGCACAGTCTGGGAAAATCAGGGATGATGCCCTTAGAAGTGACTAGACTTCCATTTGTCCCAATAATAGCTTTGAAGTGCCTGTTCCTCATGTAAAAGCAATACTGTGTGATTTGATTAAGACAAAAGATTGTTAATTCCCTGCTTAGTGTTCTCTGACGCTGACTTTGCGTTTCCACAGATTTTGGATTCTGGTTATAACATAACACACAACAGATATACTAGATCAGAATTTCGACAACTGTCTCCCGCTTGTTCTGGTGACATCTATGTGTCCAGATTTCCTTTTGTAGACGGGCAATGATTGCAGCCTACACAATGATTTGTCCGATTTTTGCAAATTGTAACCAGAGGTCATCATCTCTGAATATTCTGACTCTTTTATTTCAACTGCATAGGCTATCCTCAAGCTGTTGGTAATGAAATAGGAAAGGCTGACTTTAGGAAAACTCAGCACTGGGGATTTTTCTCTATTGAAATTCAGTGTTTATTAATATCATATATGAACTATAACATTTACCTGACTTCCAGATCAACAAGCAACTTTTATTGTATATGTGTAAACTCATAATTAAATATTTTAAACAGCTCAAAACAATATCCTTCTCTTATAAGCCAAACCGGCAAAACCTGATGCAGCTTATGTGTAATGATTCATTTTAACCAGAAGGTGGCCCTGTTGTATCAAGCAAGTGTCAGTTTTAATGCAAGACAGCAGTTGACAGGGAGAAAGGATGCAGACTCCAAAGAGACTGTCGTTGGTTGTCTCCTATTTGATTTGTTTTTTTTTTATTGGTTCATGAGAAAATAAAGTATTTGCTTTTGAAAGAAACTCTTAAATCATCTTGGACAGGTTATCTTGATTCTGAACATAGAAATGCTCAAACAAGGGTCACAAGGGAAGCTTAGCTTAGGCTTTTTGGATGATATTGTACGGCAAGTTCAAATAACCTTTTGGCTTTGGAACAATTACGATGGAAGAACGAAATTTACAATTGTTTATGTGGATCAGCACATTCAGAAAGAATACAACTATTGCGCGCTTTAATTAAAGCTCCTTCGGCCATATGCATTATTACATAACGACCACAGGATCATGCCATAAACTTGAGTGCATGCACACTTAGTTGTGACAGAACTCAGAGAAGTGCAAACAGCTAAAGTAGTCTGTTCTTTTAGAAGTGCTCATGGGTTTCTTCCTTTAAATAGAGACCATATCTCACCCGCCCATCAACCTCCAACATAATCACGCGGCTGCTCAGAAATAGAAGCACGAGGTGGGAGATCAAACTATCACCTCTTAATTGTACCCTCAGTCTTAAAGATGCTGAGAGCCCATTAGCGCACAAAGAAGTATGCTGTGTACTGCTCCTGAAACATGCATCAGTATAATGTAGCTGGGAGATGAGTCAGAAGTTAGACAAGTGGAAGAAGCACCACACAGGCATCCACCTGTGCTGGAACTCACATAAATAGATGCAAAACTGACAGTGTAAGGTGTGGCAGGCAATGAGAAAGAAGGAAACTTTTACTTCCTTTGGAAAGGAGAAGAACTCACGGTGCGATTAAACTACACTGGTGGTGAAAAAAGCTAATTCTTCATTTCTAATATTTTTCGCCCTTGTGTTAAATTGAAGACTTGTTTTTAGTGGTTTTAAGCATTGTGCAGAGATTGAAAGGCCATTTCCAAATGAGTTGATAGGGTCTATTTTGTCAGGTCGAGCCACAAAATGAATATTGACTGTCATGCTTGGCAAAGAAAGCTGCAAAAAAAATAGACACCCTTCTTCCCCAGAAGAGTAACTGGATGTTTTTTTTTCAATTATGAAGGAGAATGGAGAGACAGGAGAAAATGTGAAATTCTCAAATCTGTTGGAGCGCTCCATCAAAGTGCCAATGCATTGATTTTGACCACAGATATTTTCTGCCTAGCTGCTTGCACATCCCCTACACCAAACACTGCTCTCAAGACCAGGGTCTTGTGGGAGCCCTTGTGCTCCTGAATCATCTTCATCTCCACTGGGACTCTTGAGGGAAGGAGGAGGTGGAGGCCATTGACCATCTTGGTTTACCCAAATCGAGACAGGGATGGGTACGTAGTGGGAGGGGTAAGCTGTGGAGATGGTAAATGGTGGTGGTCGGAAGGAGAAGGTGGGAAGAGGGAAAGAAGGGGAGGGGTCCGGCCTGTTGAGGTGCGTTCCACCGCCCTCCAGAGGGAAAGCAGGGGTTTGAAATCAATGTGCTGTTAAGTGCAGCTTAGCCACGGGGTACTCTCCAACGTTACCCATGCACCAGTGAATCGAGGCCCAGCCTGCTCGCTACAGACACCATCTAAGGGTACCAACGTAATGCCCCTCTGCACTTCCAGTTCCTGTCACCTCCATGCTCTCAGCCAACACTCAACGCCCTTCTCCAAACAGTTGTGGCCCTGCTAACTTGAGACTCATCTCACACCAGGGTCTCACTCCAGCAGACCTGTGAGCATTGCACTGGTACTATAGTCCACTCACTGCCCAGGAAATTCAATCTAAAGGAAGCACTGAACTAAATATAGCCTTTGTGTTGTGTACATAAACACCTGGGTTGAGCTAGAAGAAGATCTTTCGTCAGCATTCTTTTTCATTAGGCAGGACCTCATATTAATAATGCAAACTCTTTATGCTCATGACACGTGATAGAGAAACCTCGTGGCATTCAGTGGTGCTAGAAAAATTTCACATCCGTTGTAGTGTCGGACCACAACAAATTGTTAAAGTGTATATGTGATTTCTGGTTTTGCTGTGGGTCTTGCTGCTCATTGTGGGCCATCAAAAAGAAGACTGTGTGCATCATTTCAGATACAATTATAACAAGTGGATCTGAGCCATGTAGACTAATGACATTAACCTCCAGATATCTAAATACCAAATCTTAGTAAAACAAAAGTGATTAACAAGATCGTGAGTGAATGCATCACAAACAACAGAGAGGCCACATGAGACTCCTATGATCCCCGAGGAGCAATTCTGCATAATTCTAACTGGCTTGATGATTATTTAACATAGGTGACATTTATCAACACATCAAAAGAGAAAATATAGTGTGAATAGGAAGCATAATTCCTACAGTCTCAGTCGTGCCTGATGTTTCTCTTTTAAAAAGAGGCGCATAAAAAAATCCTGACCCAGACACACATCTGCCTGTGGCTGCATTTAGCCGGTGAGAGCAGTAATAGTGTGTGACTGAAGGTGAGGAAACAGCCTCAGGCCTACATCTGTGTTTAGATGTCAGCCCTCCTTGGGTACAATATCTCCACAGCCTTCTTGGCCTCCTTACATGAACTCTTGACATGGTAACCAAAGGACAGCCAGAGGGAAGGGCACAGACACGCTCAACTTTTACTAATACACTTAAGACTATGTTCTACAAGCCACTGGTTCTTCCTGCTAGGCCTTGTATTGGTGACACTACAACAAAGTCAAGTCAGTCACTGAGGGTGTAGCGAGCAATGTTAACAGCAATCGAGCTCCGTTGTCAATTCTTCAGGTCTCATCCCCACGCGAATATCTCTTCTACGTTAACATGGGCTGATTTTCTGGAAGCATGCTGTCGAGGTGTCTATTGATTGTAGTACCTCTTGCATGAATGGTTAAGAAAGACAATCAATTGACTTGCTGGTAGTTTTTTTTTTTAATTGTGGGATGCACCAGATTAATATAACTCCAGCTGTAAATATGTGTGGTTGATGGAAGAAGTTAAAAGAAAAAAAGGCAATAATTTATGACGCAGAGCAATGCAAAATAAATTCTAATCCGCAGAATCTGTTTAGAATGCGATGGCAGCAACACAACTCAAAAAACTAAAGACAGCTTCAACAAAATACAATGAACATGTTTTCAACAGGTTACTAATACCTTACTGAATTTTACTCTGTCTGTTATCAGCAAAAAAGCATGACTCTGAGGATATAAATTATAGAACTGGTCATCAAATTTAAGCAAATTTAAGCGCTCACATCATTTTTAACAGTATATATATATATATATTTTACTGAATAAGTTATATTGTAGTTGAAATATGTCATGCAAATCATCATATTCTGTATCTAGTTTTACATTTCACACCTCATCACAAGTGTTTATGGAAAATGGACCGACAGCAGATCCATTTAGATATATCTATGACAAAACTATTACATAGGCAGGACAGTAAAAATCATTCATACAGTTTGGACTTGACTTTGTTCAAGAAATTATTTTGAAAATTCAGACCAAGAGGCACAGAAATGCCATTTCTACTGACGTACCTCCCTTCGACTGTTGCAGTCGCTCTCACGACTCTGCAGCTATTTTCTTTCCAGTGGATATGGCTGCCATGATTGTCCACTTAAAATCTTGACAGCTGCTCCCCAAAATCCCAGCAAATTATCAACAGAGGTCAAGTTGTGAAAAGAAGTAGAGAAACATCATCAGATGCTCTGAAATACAATTTGCTGACAGGCACGAGTGAAAACATTTTTATTCTCCAGGCCCAAACCTCCCCCTCACCCAAGAGCCTTTTTCTTACAGCTTTCCTGAGAGGCCGGGGCAATCAAGCACTCTACCTTGTTAGGAGGTGTTAATTGGAGTTAGTCAGACTCCTCACTTTGTCAAGGAGTCTGACAACAGAATTAATTAGAATTTGAGCATGTAAATCAATTCAAATTGGGGTCCTCATAGGGGAGGATAAAGTGTTTTTTGCCGAAGAAAAGCAGGTGTCTAAAGCGTGAGCCAAGTAGTTTCTCTGTGAATTTTATGACTTCCCTTTTCATAGATTTTTATCTCCACCAGTATACTTTTGGAGAGGCCATAGATGCACTGTATAAATAGAGGTGTTGAGCTGAACATTGCCCTTAGATGGATGGTTCCTGGACCACTTTTTTTAGGCTGTTTTCATATTTCCAAATAGACATGCCTCACATGCATTACTTAGGTGAATTATAAAATGTGTGAAAACACCATGGCAACAACAGAAGGAATAGTAGAAAGGCTCTATGTGCTTTTGTGCGCTTCTCCTGTAATCAAGTCTATGTTGTAAATCCTGACATGTTAGACTTGTAAAGCTTTATTTGACAACACAACCTTGCTCACTTCAGTTGTGAGCTGCAGTGTTGTAGCGGCAGCTATTAGGTGCAGAAAAAGATTGCAAAGTGCCGTTATGCATGAATATCGGGTATTCAGTTTTAGTTTTACTGGAATAAGGAACAGAGACGTGTTCTTATTGAACAGTTGTGACCTTATAAGGCATAGCTTTGGATTCTATAGTCTATCATTTGGACAGTTTGACATGTTTTTTTTTAAACAGAGGTAATAAGTTTATTTTTGAAAGGTCAGAACGAACTAAAATAATTCTATCAGGTAAAAAAGACTAAAAGACTTCATAGAGAAATGTAATGTTCTTGAGAGATCCAATTAGATTTCATCGTCTTACGTCTTCATACGTGTTTTTTTAATGTACAAGGTTTATTTTGTACATTGTAATATTTGTGTAGTACGTTTGATCAACTTCATGTCATTTAGTCCCCGGTAAAACAATCAAATTAAAATATAGTTGCTGCAGTTGATTTTAAACATTTGCATTTTTATTTTTTTTTATTGAAAGCTGCTCCTGGTCTGCATTATACAAAATGATGCTTCAAATAAATGAAAAGTAATAAAACACATTTCAACGAAGATTCATGAAAAGCCATTTTATTTTCCATTTAATAACACCTCCATGAAGACAATTTGTACAAGATACATCACATTCTAAAGTGCACGAATACTGTACAACAAAAATTACTTAAATACGCTCGAGGGGGACAAAATAAAAAAAATTAAAAATCACAATTGTTTAAAAAAAAATGTTTTGAAAAAAAAAAAAAGGTCAAATTGAACATGCTTTTATTTTTTTCAAAAACAACAATTACTATGCATGTTTCTGCTCATGTGACAGGGTTGGTCTGGGAAAATAACCTTGTGCAGCTTGCTTGGGGGAACACTAAGCTTTGGCACCTTTAGAGAAAAGAGAAAAAAGACATTAACAAGGAATGGAGAGCACTCAATGATAAACCAAAGATTTATATTTAGTTTAATAAATACAGTCTTAGGGGCTTGTGTAGAATGCATAATAACCCATGCCTTTTGGGTTGTCCTTGTTGTATTCCTCTGTGGTCAAGTCCTCACACTTAATGGTGGGGGAATTCTCTGTGCTAGAGCCCCCAGGAGACATCCTGCGCCTCTTGCACACCATGGAGTACACACCAGAATCAGTAGAGTCCACAGATTTCAGAGAGTGGGATGTCTCGATCCAGGTCGAGGTGGGCGGCGCGTTGTCCTCAGGCAGCTTTTCTTTAGTGGCCCCCAGCTGGTCCTCCGGGAATGCCGGGGGACTGGGGCGAGGGGACCAGGGCAGGCCTGTGGTCATTTTGCGTTGGTAAGAACTTCTGGTTCCCCAACCGGCAGCCATGGAGGCAAAGGCCGAGTCGGGGTAGTAGCTGAGGGCATGGGACGTCTGCAGGGACAGAGGCTTGATGCCGTAGGACAGCAGGCTACTGGTGGAATAGTCATTCTCGTACGAGAGGTCGAGCTTGTTGGTGCCTGGCTGCTGGACCGGTGGGACAAACCAGCGCTGGGCAGAGGAGGCCGCGCTGGCGTCCTCGCTCTGCGGGGACAGGAGGCTGTTGGTCTGGGGAACGGCCCGTTCGCCGGTGTAGAACCGGTTCTGAGGCAGGTTGTTGACAAACTGGTCCTGAAAGAAAGGCTGCATGGCATAGCGGGCTCCGGGCACAATTTGGGTTGAGCGAGGGGAGTCTGTAGGCGATGGAGTCAGCCTGTCACTCTCCGGAGCTGTATACATCCTGTTGGACAAATTTGGAAATTCAGACATGGAGAAAAAGAATAATTTCAGTAAGAAATTCATCTCACAGCTGGCAACCGATTTATGTACCACATTTTCAAAAGAAGGAAAAAAAAGAAGAAATGAGTAAGAATAAATAACCGCAATGCATCAAGTGCAAGACACTTACGAGTCATAGTTATCCCGGAAGCCTTTTGCAAATGGGTTGTGATCTATCTTCAGCTGTGTAATCTGAACCAAATGAACACACGGATAGTGCATTAATATTTCACATAAGTTAAACAAACTGTTCTGTGAGATGAGTAGGTAAAACAAAAAGAAAATAAATGCTGCAGTTCAGCATCCAAATTTGCAATTTGCTAAATGATTTTAAAAAGTACGATAAAAAAAGAGTTACTGCTAAACTGATATTAATTTGAGATTTGTGAGAAGCTTACATCTGTGTTTTGGTATGCGGTGACGGCTATAAACTGGTTCTCTGGGAAGGTGAAGGTTTGAGTTCTGGCCTCATTGTTCATGTCCTCAACTCCGTCTTCCGTCACCTCGACAATGTGCAAACGGGGTTGGTATTTATGAAGCGACTGCAAGACTATCATCTGAAAGCAGCAAATGTGTGATGAGAACAGCGCTGAGCATTTCAGTACTAGACCAGAAGCCAGAGACTGAAAATTTAAACTTGTTGCAAAAAATTGTTATAAGTCCCAATCAAATTAAATGCAGTTAAAGACTAAAGCAAAGTATTCAGGCAAAGCAATACTGTACTACAATTCTTAAATTCAAAGATTTAAGAAACACACAATGAGAAATAGAAAAAAATAGAAATTAACCTGTGTGTTGTTGTTGTTGGCTCCTTTATTGTTGGTGAGCTTCAGCTTGCCGAAAGATATTTCTTGCCTCATCCAGTGAGCACCGGTGTTTGGAGACTCAGGATGAACATACATTTTGTTACCTAAAATCAAAATAAGGCAAATTAGGTAAATGGCAAAGCAAGAACTGGATTGTTTAAACAAATACACAAATTATTATCCATTCTTATTCTTAGAAATTACCTCAGAAATTTTTAATTTAAAGATTTGTTTATTTTAAATTGAAAAACCTAAGATGTGGAAAACGTTTTTAGTTGTAGTTAAACAAATATTTTTGCAGCTTTATAAGAAATACACATAGAATGATTTCTGAGTTAGGAATTAATTTTCAATAAAAATAAAGCTGACTTTAGATTCTATTTTTTTTCAAGCTTTAAAACTTATAAGGGCTTTCAACCCAGGCCTTATTAACAAGCATACTTGCTTTGCTTCTTGAATGTACAGTTTCAGAAGGCTAATAATATTGTATCAGTACACACTAACCCCCTGCACAAAATAAGAAATTAGTCACAAAAAAAGAAAATGTTAATAAAAATCAATAGGAATATACTTTTTCTGGAGCTGTGGCTGCATTGAATTTGTGCAACATCAGCCGCTTTATTTCTGCAAAACGTTTACTCGTTTCGGTCAATGTACAAAGGCAACATTCTCCGTTGCCTCAAATGTTTCCATGTGCAACTCACCTTGCATATTATTGTCTGCTTTCCCACAGGTGACCCATTTTCCTCCCTGAAAGCGCCAGTGATTCGGGTCCGCCAAAACTATTTCTACAAACACGTTGTAATGGGCCGTGAGGTTGAGTCCGGTGATGTTAAAACTCAGGAATGGGAACATCCGTCTGAAAAAAAAAAAAGGCAATAAGAAATTTATATTCATTCGGGATCGTGAAACAGGTTAAAAAGAATTAAATCATATCACAACGAACGAAAAAAAACATTCACCATTGCAGTTTTCAATTTAACAAAATACTGGATTCGACATAAAATACGAATTTCTAAGTACTGTTATCCATTTGAATATTCGGAAACAAAATTAAAGTGAAAATCTCAAACATCCAATTGCAAAAGATAACTTCTGTGGTTTGCGTAAAAATGTTCTTATGCGTAAAAGTTGGCACAACTGAAAGAAAAACGCAGTGACATTGAATAAAAAGAACCGACACCGATTCCTCTTTTAACCGAGGCCCGTTGAAGTGCTCACCTGCCCTGTTTGGTGATGATCATCTCGGTTTGGTGTCGGTGGAACTTCAGCCACAGGGGCCGGTTGCACAGATAGACCTGCGCCCGGGCTCCGGTGGCGGACCCCGGCAGAGACATGGAGCCGATGCCCGTGCCCGTCCCGGGATAGGAGGGGTACAAACAGCCCGGGCCCTGGCTAAACTGGTACCCTCCGCTGCCGAACTGGCTCCGGCCGCTGCACACGGACGGGGAGGAGAAGCCCGTGGGCGGCAGGACGGATCCGTAATGTAGCGATGCCGGGTATCTGGAGCCGCTTGACCCGGTGTACACTGACCCCGTCTGTCCTGCGTAGGGAAAGAGGGAACAGGGGCTTGCCATGTCGGAGCTCGTTTGGGAGGATGAGATGAAGTATCTGTCAGAGCCGAGTTCGTCTATGTTGTACCGCCGCCCGCTCGTAAGCTCGTCCTCACCCAGCACTGGGGAGCCCTTCCTACCATCGGCCTTATTAAAAGTGTCCCCCTCTGCCTCGCCCAGCATCCCGTTTCCCACCCCGCTCAGATATTTCTTGGGCGCGCTGCCGGACTCTGATTCCGTCCGCTCGACTTCTTGGTATTCAAGCTGTGACGACGGCCTCGGGCTGTTGTTGGTGCTGTCCGACGAGGACAGATTGTAAAAGGTCTTGGGTAGATTGATGCTAGCGCTGGGAAGAATGTTCTCTAGCTGCATTGTTTTGAGCTCTTGGGATAAATTTCTGTTGTTCAGGAGTCCAGAGTAAATCTCAGCCAGGAGGAGCCACCGGTGCCGGGATTCTCGGTTTCTGCAGCCCTCCTCCCTGAACGATGGGAGGTTAAAGCCTCTCCTTACCTACAGATTTTCTGATCAGATAATGGGTTGGACACGAGATGCTCGGTGGCTCTTATAAGACACAGCCCCCCCCACACCCTACACACACACTCAAAACAGATTGTAAACGTAAGGGGAGGAGCTTTTGACGAAGCGCACAAGGGCACCAACCCTCTCAGTAGCCAATAGCTGCGCGACTCTAATTCAATTACAAAGTGTGTGGCAGATATTGTACCAAATGAAAGTTTATTTTTTACTTTATACACCCCACGGGGGAAAGAAGTCGGCTCAAGCAGAAACAAGGTGCACATTACTTTTCGCTCGCCCTTACCGGGCCAAATCCCCTTTACTCTTTTTGAGAAATTATGTCGCCAGGCCAAAATCACCCGTCGAATTTCTTTAGGTTTCACCTCAGAGCAAACACACGTCTGCCAGAAATGGACGCGTTTCGCGAGCCTCACATTAACAGTCGCGCACGCAAACGTGGCACACACACACACACACACAGTCACCTTAAAAGTGCCAGCTCCGGCTCCGAGCCATCAGCAGCCAACACCAGCAAACACCACAACAGCAACATGCACACGCTCAAATGCTTTTTCAGACCGGTTCCAACAGCTCACCCCAGAAGAAGATCCTCGCTCAACACTCGGGCTCCAACGCTCCAGTTCCACGCGCAAAAAACGCCAACCCGTAAAAAAAAAAAAAAAACACAAAGCAAAAAGCAATCACATGTGCACCTTATTTCGCATGATTGGATTACGTTGCCTCTTCGGTTCAGGCGTTGGGGCAAAAAAAAAGAAAAAGACAAGAAGAACAATATAAAATATATATATCTAAAGAGAGAGAGACGATGACAAACTTCTGCAGGCTCAAGTTGATATTGCAAGATTAATATTTGAAATCAAACGCGTCGAGAAAAGTCTGAGCTCCCCCTATTTTGCTCCTAATGCGCGACAAACAATATTTCTGAGCGAAACAAAAAAAAACGTTTCAAAATGCATCTCAGTTTAAAAGATAAATATCAAAGATTTGTTTTCCTACCGTTTTGATATTTGTTAGATTAGTTAAAATTGATCTGAAATATCAGATCAGAAATTCGATTTAGATCATGTTTTCCCCTCCAAAAGGTGTAAAAAATATATATAACTGTAAAAAAAAATAAGTCGTTAATTTTATTGATCGCTTGCATTGCTGTTTTTTTCTTTGCCTTTTCAAAGCTGATAATTATCTCATAGTTTTTATTTTATTCTAATGTTAAAGTTCAACAGAATAGTCCAAATTAAATGTGAAAGATGCTTATTTTCAAACCTGTTTTTTCTCGCAGATAATACCCGGATTATTAAAAAAAAACACACACACACACACACACATTAACACGACACCGACTGTTATACACGACGAAATATAATTAAAGGAAAAAAAATTCAGCCACTTTTACTTAGCGTGCCCCGGACACAATAATAAAACAAACGAACAAATAGAACAAAAAATGCTAAATAAATGATAATTAAAAATGTCTGTCGCACAGTCACGCAGGGGAAAGAGATTAAACGATCCCACGACCCAATGAAATCAAACAGATAGGTCGTGCATCAAACGCTGAGCTGGGTTTGGGCCTGAGAGGGAAGCGGTGGCAGCGCTCTCTAGTGACTGATCGGGACGATGGGCAACGTCCCTGTTCCTGCTCACATCTCCACACCGCAACAGAGGGCCGTTCACTCTCACTGGTTTCTCACTTAACATCATCTTTATCTCAACCCAGTATTTGCGTCTTTTGTGCGCTTCTGCTGAGCGCGCGTGTGGGCAGGTTGTGCATGTGTGAGTCTTAAAGAAAGCTGAAAGGAGAGTGGGGGGGAGGGAGGGGGTGTGGGGTGAGATGAATTTGGGGAAAATGGGGATACAAATCTGTGAAAAGCTGAGGGAGGATCTCGGCTGGAGGCAGATTGGCTCGTGTCATAAATGGGACAGGGAAGCCGACCACTGGCCCGCCGGGGGACGTGCGCGCGGCACCCAGTCTGTCAATCAAGACCGAGACCCCTCGGCACAGACGCACCAAACATCTGGCAACTGAGATCAAACATTTTAGAAATGCTTTAAGAGCTGTTCTATTATTTACCCTGACCCGTGTCACAGCAGAGATTGCAATAGACGGTGATTTCCACCAACCGCTCGCTTTCCTGCGTTTTGTGGCAAATATAATTCATTTGGGAAACCCGTAAAATGATACAGGTGAGGCTTTGGCAGGAGGAAATACACTGGCTGTCAATTTCCTGTGATTCTCAGAGGGTTTACGTAAATGTGGGTGAAAGAAAAAGCCATCATTCAAAAACACAAATGTTCATGAACATAAAGAGATCATCATCGTCCCTTTGAATTTGGGTTGCACACAATGTGCCCATCAATCCCCATATTTATGTCTTCCCTGCCTTTTTTGACTCACTGCAGGCTCATTCCATAGTAAGAGGATAAATCTATAGTTCAAAGGAAGCAGCATTTGTATTCCAACCACAGCCGAGTGTTTCACACCTGAGCTGTCAACACCTTATTAGTACAAGCCTGTCTTATGGCTTTTCTTATGCATGATCAGCAAAATTACTGCTTAGTTGTGTTAAAGGGAAATCTTACTCTCATGGCACCTGCACAGGTCCAAACTCTTTTTACTTTACAATGTGCCACTTAGAAACTTGCAAGACTGTTGGAATTATTTCTCAGCTGATTTTTATACCCTAGCACTGGATTTTATAGATGATTACAAGTCCATTGTGAGAAATCCTGGGTAAAACAACCACAGCGTTATTATTTTAATGACCATAGTCTAAACCATAGGTTTTCCCAAATGACCCTCAAGACTTGCTTGCCATTTGAAAACTAAAAAACAAAATAAACCTGATTTATAGGCTACCTATAAATAAACTAATTCCAAATGAGGTGGATGTGTAGGTTCTACTCATAAAGGAGCTCCCTCTTGTGACCTGTCAGCATGTTTCTTGACCACCTATAAAAGTCCAACTGTGTCTGAGATGACCCTCTTTGGCCCCAGGCCAGGGCCCGCGCGACAGGGGAAGGGAAGTCTTACCATATTGTTGTCAGAGTAGATCATCAACACAGCACATGAAAGGAATACATTCCAGGTTTTATGGGCCAAGGTGGCTGCAGAAGCCTTTACTCAGGAGTGAATTCATGTACCCCATTGCAAGGATTAATAACGCAAGTCTCATTAGAGATCCTCGCCACTGAGACCCCCGGAGGGAGGGGTGCTGGGAAAAGAAGCGAGTGCAATGTGCACCGTGCCAGCAATGCGCTCCTCCGCAAATCATCATCCTCAAGAACATTTTTATTGGAAAGAATTTATTTCACAAGTTTATCAAAGATGTCCCCCAGTATATTTTCCAGTGTGCGGGAATTGCTAACATTTAATCAAAGCAATAGTCTTTACACGAGGGAAGCTTATGTTACAGACATGCTGCTGTCTTCAAAGATACAACGCTGACAGCTTCATGAATTTCCATTTGGGTACATATTGCTCACATCAATTACTTTGTCTTTTCCTACCTTCTTGCCTCCACTGTTTTCACGATTTAAACAACACATGGCTTTCTCCTCAGATCAGGAAAAAATGATTTCTACGCCAAAAAAAGTGCATTTTGGCTATTTTTGCAAAACATTTTTTTAAAAACCCTTTTAACAAATAATTCTATATGGAATATGCAAAGTATATTCATGTTTTATGTTATGTTGTGCATCCAGAGATGGGAATTTTCTCCCTCCGTAACCAGTCAAAGAGAAAGGCCCCTGGGACTCCCCTCTACATACAAACAGCGCATTTGAATTCCTCTAAAGATATTAAAATACAATTGCATAAAAAAACAGCAGAAGCTGCTTTGCTTCACATCAGATCAGTCTCAATGTAAGATGCTGCCACATGTATATATTTGCCTGCTTGTTTCATTTGTTTGACCTGCAGAAGGAGCGGTGGATTATTGCAGAAATGCATCTGGGGATATGTGAGCCAATAGCTCTGTGATGCCCAGGTTTTCAGGGGGCAATGATAATCCACTGTGTTAAGACTAATCTTGGAAAAATATGGTGCACTGGTTGCATTCAGGGAAATAGGATTGGAGCTGCTTTGCTATATTTGATTCCCAAAGGTATGCTAACATGATTTTTGGATTACTGCATTAAAGAAAGTGTCACCCAGGACCTGTGGGACAAGCGGCAGGTACAATTATGGAAACAGGGTGCATTCCAGGTATCTGTGCTCCTCATATCTAACTTTTTAAGTGCTCCGAGTGATGTCATATTTGTGACATTGCAGGAGCATCCAAACGCGTTGGGGAAAAAGCCACTGGTGTTCACAAATGCCGGACAAATCTCCCATTTCTTGAGCTTTTGATTTTCCAATACTGCTAACATATTTACACGAGGAAGTTAGTTGAATACGAATCAGTGAACTGAATTTGACACGTCCGTCCTTTTACTCAATGAGTCGTCACCGGCTGAACATCCAGTCGACAGCTCCAGGAGTGGATGGCAGTCCGTTGGCCCGGGCCTCACCCTCATCCCCATTTTAGCATCAACCTTTGTTGACCCACTTCTCCTAGCCCATCCTCTGGAAACACCAGAGGAATTGACACAGCCTCGGGGACCGAAGCAAAATAGCAGGTGCTAAAAGTTTGACAGCGTAGACTGGATATATGTGTTCCCTGGAACGTGAGGTGTAAGGGAGGGTGGTGGAGTTGTATCGACTCTGCATTAAGCCGCCAAGATAACGCAGCGTCTTTAACAGGCATCCTCTGGTTGCTGAGGAGAGTTGGGGTGAGCTGGCATGGGGTGGGGAAGACTCTTTCGCTCTTTCTTGAGCTGGTGAAGAAGTCAGCAGCAAGCAAAGCACAGCGACTCCACCCAGCTCGCCCCTGCTCCTCTGTCCTTTCCTGTGGCACTATTATAGCCAAACAAGCTGGGCTTTTATCACATTGTTTCCCTTTACCCAAAAATTTTTTTTTTTGAAACCCCCTTCCCCCCCCCCCCCCCGCCACCCTTTTTTTCTTTCTTTTTTTTTATTATTGTGACAGGGAACACAAACAGATTTACACCACAGGAGTATTCTGCTGCTGCTCCTGCTTCAATGTGGTTAAATCAGTGAGTCAGAAGTGAGAATGT